CAGGCGGTATGAGGAGTTGTTTTGATGCTATCATCCTCCGGCTAACCTCGCGCATGCTGCATTATTTTCAGGGCGCCGTGATAGGGGTTGAACATTGCTGACTGAAGGGATAAGCAACAAACAAACAAATCTGATTCAAGCAGGTGTGGCTTTTAGCCAGGACTAGGTGATTAACGCGTCATTGATAAGATGGACACCGTTTGCTACGTAGTGTTTTGAAAAGAGGTAGGGCGTTACCTCAGATAAAACATTCTTCAAATAGACCAAGCAGCTGACAGAATGCATACCAATGTGGTTTATCTTAGTCTCTAAGCCTAATTAAGCAATCTGGCACGGTATGGTCATGTTGAAAATCGCATGAATGTCTGTTGCATATACCTTGGATATACATTTACACACTATATATCATTCATAGATCTGGGATAAACATTTATACCCGATATATCAATCAAAGATCTGGGATAAACATTTATACCCGATATATCAATCAAAGATCTGGGATAAACATATATACCCGATATATCAATCAGATGTCTGGGATGTACATGTATATGTGATACATCAATCAGAGGTCTGGGATGTACATGTATACCCGATATATCAATCAGAGGTCTGGGATATACATGTATACATGGTATATCATTCATAGGTCTGGGATAAACATTTATACCCGATATATCAATCAGAGGTCTGGGATGTACATGTATACATGATATATCAATCAGAGGTCTGGGATATACATGTATACATGATATATCATCCATAGGTCTGGGATATACATTTATACCCGATATATCATTCAGAGGTCTGGGGTATACATTTATGCCCGATATATCATTCAGAGGTCTGGGGTATACATTTATGCCCGATATATCAATCAGAGGTCGGGGATGTACATGTATACATGATATATCAGTCAGAGGTGTGGGATAAACATATATACCCGATATATCAATCAGAGGTCTGGGATAAACATTTATACCCGATATATCAATCAAAGATCTGGGATAAACATTTATACCCGATATATCAATCAGAGGTCTGGGATGTACATGATTACATGATATATCAATAAGAGGTCTGGGATATACATGTATACATGATATATCATTCATAGGTCTGGGATATACATTTATACCCGATATATCATTCAGAGGTCTGGGGTATACATTTATGCCCGATATATCATTCAGAGGTCTGGGGTATACATTTATGCCCGATATATCAATCAGAGGTCTGGGATGTACATGTATACATGATATATTATTCAGAGGGCTGGGGTATTCATGTATACATGATATATCATTCATAGGTATGGGATATACATTCATACACAACAGATCATTCAGAGATCTGGGTATAGATTTCCACACGATATATCATTCAGAGGTCTGGGATATACATTTATACTAGACATATCGTTAAGGAAACTGGAATATATATTTACACGCGATATATCATTCAGAGATCTGGGATTTACATGATATATCAATCAGAGGTCTTGGATATACATTTATGCCCGATAAATCATTCAGAGGCCTGGGGTATATATTTATACATGATATATCATTCATAGGTCTGGGATATACATTTATACTCGACATATCGTCAAGGAAACTGGAATATATATTTACACGCGATATATCATTCAGAGATCAGGCACAGTATATACCTTGGATGTACATTTATACACGATATATCATTCATAGATCTGGGATAAACATTTATACCAAATATATCATTCAGAGATCAACGATAAACATTTATACCCGATATATCGTTCAGAGGTCTTGGATATACATTTATATACAACAGATCATTTCGAGATCTGGGTATAGATTTACACACGATATATCAGGACAGGATAGGCAGACATTTGTCATCAAACGTGACGTCTCATAGATTATGTTAAGAGTAGCTTCCCTTTGATAATGGCAGTTACTCTAGTGGACAGACCGATTGATTGCCGAGAGAGGCAAGTCGAAACAATTTGTGTAGGGAATTGTTGTTTTGCCTATATGTAGTTACGCCTCTGTATAAGGAACAGATTTCATTTGGAAATTAATATATTGACTGTTTCCACTGTCAGACTGACACATTACTTACCTTCTGGCGTCATATATATTATTAGGCCCATTCCAGGAAAAAACTTGCAATGTTTAGGTAATATTTGTGAAGGATTGGAAGAGATTATTCAACACAGAATGACATATGATAAAGACGTTATCACGCTGGTGTGTTTTGGGGATGGTAAATGTTCTGTGTAAGGAGTGAGTGAGTGAGTATGGTTTTACGCCGCTTTTAGCAATATTCCAGCAATATCACGGCGGGGGACACCAGAAATGGGCTTCATACAATGTACCCATGTCGGGAATCGAACCCGGGTCTTCGGCGTGCCGAGCGAACGCTTTAACCACTAGGCTACCCGACCGCCCCTCTGTGTAAGGAAGAAACACTATCTACATGGCTCGCCATGGCTCGCTAAATACAATGTTTATTCCTAATACAGGATATACCATCCCCAAACACGCTCGCGTGATAACCTCAAAATACACGATATATCATTCAGACATCTGGGATATATATTTATACACGATACACCATTCAGAGATCTGTGATATACATTTATACACGATATACATGTATCATTCAGACATCTGATCATGAGATATATATTTATAAACGATACACCATTCAGAGACCTGGGATATACACTTACACCCTAACATTATTCAGAAATCTGGGATATACATTTATACATAACAGTTCATTCGGAGATTTGGGATATACACTTACACCCTTTACATTATTCAGAAATCGCGGATATATATTTAGACACGATATATCCTTCAGACATCTGAAATATATATTTATTCACGATACACCATTCAGAGACCTGGGATATACACTTACACCCTATACATTATTCAGAAATCTGGGATATACATTTATACATAACAGTTCATTCGGAGATTTGGTACATTATTCAGAAATCGTGGATATACATTTAGGCACGATATATCATTCAGACATCTGAGATATATATTTATACACGATACACCATTCAGAAACCTGGGACATACACTTACACACTATACATTATTCAGAGATCTGGGATATACATTTATACATAACAGTTCATTCGGAGATTCGGGATATACACTTATACCCTTTATATTATTCAGAAATCGCGGATATACATTTATACACGATATATCATTCAGACATCTGAGATATATATTTATACACGATACACCATTCAGAAACCTGGGACATACACTTACACACTATACATTATTCAGAGACCTGGGATATACATTTATACATAACAGTTCATTCAGAGATCTGGGATATACATTTATACATAACAGTTCATTCAGAGATCCGGGATATACTTTTATACATAACAGTTCATTCAGATATCTGGGATATACATTTATACATAACAGTTCATTCAGAGATCTGGGATATACATTTATAAATAACAGTTCATTCAGAGATCTGGGATATACATTTATACATAACAGTTCATTCAGAGACCTGAGATATACATTTATACATAACAGTTCATTCAGAGATCTGGGATATACTTTTATACATAACAGTTCATTCAGACATCTGGGATATACATTTACACATAACAGTTCATTCAGAGATCTGGGATATACATTTATACATAACAGTTCATTCAGAGATCTGGGATATACATTTATACATAACAGTTCATTCAGAGATCTGTGATATACATTTATACATAACAGTTCATTCAGAGACCTGGGATATACATTTATACATAACAGTTCATTCAGAGACCTGGGATATACATTTATACATAACAGTTCATTCAGAGATCTGGGATATACATTTATACATAACAGTTCATTCAGAGATCTGTGATATACATTTATACATAACAGTTCATTCAGAGACCTGGGATATACATTTATACATAACAGTTCATTCAGAGACCTGGGATATACATTTATACATAACAGTTCATTTAGAGACCTTGGATATACTTTTATACATAACAGTTCATTCAGAGACCTGTGATATACTTTTATACATAACAGTTCATTCAGAGACCTGTGATATACATTTATACATAACAGTTCATTCAGAGACCTGGGATATACTTTTATACATAACAGTTCATTCAGAGACCTGTGATATACATTTATACATAACAGTTCATTCAGAGACCTGTGATATACTTTTATACATAACAGTTCATTCAGAGACCTGTGATATACATTTATACGTAACAGTTCATTCAGAGACCTGAGATATACATTTATACATAACAGTTCATTCAGAGACCTGAGATATACATTTATACATAACAGTTCATTCAGAGACCTGGGATATACTTTTATGCACGTTTCATCACTCAGAGGTCAAGGCTTTACATTTATTCACGGAACTACTTTTCAAGTCGCAATTACAAGGGGTGTTGAAACGTGTTAGGTAGGGAGAATTTACTGTTTAAGATGGCAACCCTACAGAGAAGAAACTTTTTGTATATATTTGTAACGTCATATCGTTTTGTTCTCAAAAGACGCAATATAACGTCATATTGCTAGTTCCGAGTTTCGTGTAGGTTGTTCTATTTATTTCCCTTTTTAAGAACTTTTCACAAACAAATAGCATAAGATGGCCTTCAGAAAAGAAACTGTAGCCTGTTCACATAAATTTAGCAATTTGTAACTTAATAAAGTTTTGTTTTCAAAAGACGCAATATAACTTCATATTGCTAGAACAGACCAGCCAACATGAAGAATCTCGTGCACATCGGTATCATATTACACTGAAACTTTCAACTTGGAGGGTTAAATTTAGTACATCGTGTTGGGCACTGGCACAGGGAGATAATGGGGGCAGTATGTAATACTATTTGTTTTACAATATAAATAGAAAAGAAGTTATCAAAGATAACCAAGTGACCAAAGTGACATTGTTTTTCATGCGTATGTCACATGACTTATCTTTATTCAAGATAGCTCCTCTACTTGCCCGGTGCTAGGTGCCGCCTCAGCAGTCCTGTTGGTCGTCTTGCTATAATGTTGTCTTCCCTAGCCCTCCTGGTACTCGCCTGTCTCATACGGGGCAGTCTCCAACAAACAGGTAAGACCCTATAATCCCCAATTGATGTCGTTTTTTATTTTACTAAATGAGTGAGTAAGTATGGTTTTGCCCGCTTATAGCGATATTCCAGCAATTTATGACGGCGGGAGGACACCAGAAATTGGCTTCACACATGTGTGGAATCGAACCCGGACCACAGGTCTTTTGCCCATATTGCAGGTAAAGCATTGTTGTACATACCATTTGTTCAATTTTCATCTCCCTAGGGAGCATACAACCCAAGCTATCTGTAAGGTTCCAGAAGGGTCTTTATTTTATTGCTATCCCATACTAACGGGTACCCGTTCGCCGGGAAAGCCTGCGTAATGTGTTTATAAACCTCATAATAACGTCACCTCCAGTTATTTGAATATCTGCCTCAACGTTGTTTTTTCTTTACATTGTGGGTAGGCGTGAGCTTGTGGTTAAAACGTCCGCTTGTCACGCCAAGGATCCGGACTGTTTTCCCAACATTGGTACAATGTGTAAGCCCCTATCTCACATTCACGAATCTGAGTGAGTGAGTGAGTGAGTGAATACGGTTTTACGCCGCTTTTAGCAATATTCCAGCAATATCACGGCGGGGGACACCAGAAATGGGCTTCACACGTTGTACCCATGTCGGGAATCAAACCCGGGTCTTAGGCGTGACGAGCGAACGCTTTAACCACTAGGCTACCCGACCCCCCTTCACGAATCTGAACACGAATGAACACGATTTAACGTTTTTCCTTAAATCGTGGTAGAACGTATGAAGGTCGCGCACTCATTCGTGTTCATTCGTTTTAAGTCGTGGTCGGTCGCGCGCGGTCGTATGGACGTCGCAGCTCGGCTTAAATCGTGTTATAATTTTTAGCAATGCAAAAATTTATTACACGAATTAAGCCTAGCTGAAAAGTCGTGTTCAGTCGTATGAAGGTTGTATGATGGTCGTATGACAGTCGTGTACAAGCGTATGAAGATCGTTTTCAGTCGCGTTCAGTCGTGTTGGGGAGCGTGGGAAGAAACTCATACGACCTTCTAACGTTTTAACACGATTCAACACGACTTTCATATGCCTTTCATACGCCTCCCATACGCCTGAACACGAAATCCGTACGTTTGTCATACGACCGGAAGAGCCCATCACGTGACTGAGTGAGAACGTGGGAAAGCCCCTGAAAGTGAAAGCTCATTCTACAGCCATGCCAAACTCCATGCGAAACGGAAGCTCCTCCAAGCAAAACCTTCGAAAGGGAAACATCCTCCTCCTCCAAAGCTGCTTCTTGCGGGTCTTGTTCGTTGTTGAACATGGTGAAGACTGACACAGAAATGCTGTTGCAATGCAGCTTATATATACTACTGACCCACGTGACCAAAATAAACAAAAATATGTCGTATGAAGGTCTTCCCCAGTCGTATGGAGATCGTTTTTATTTTTGTAGTCGTATGGACATCGTAATGATTCGGGTTTAATCGTATGGCGGTCGTGTTGATTCGTGTTAAGTCGTATGGGCATCGTATGACAGTCGTGTTTGGTCGTATGACAGTCGTATTGGGGTCGTGTTAAATGAGGTTAAATCGTGTTGTATCGTATGAATATCTTATGACGATCGTATGAGTGTCGTGTTCAGTCGTATGAAGATCGTATGAGGGTCGTATGAGGGTCGTTTTTGGTCGTATGAGGGTCGTGTTTGGTTAAGGAATTTGCTTAAACCACAAGATCGAGCACGAATCTTAAATCGTGTATGTAAGAGTAGGGGCTTAAGGCTCATTTCTGGGCTCGATTGTTTTTTCATGAAAATTAAAAGAACTGTTGTTAACTTTTATAATATATATTTAACCATCACTCATTGCTTGTTGGTTTTTGTTGTGTTTTTTTTTTGTGTTTATAAATTAACTGGTTCAATGCAGACCAGGGTAAGAAATAAATTTGCAAACAACATAGCCACTACCTTGCATGTTTGAAAATTAATGTAACAGTTATACATTTGCGCCGAAAAAGCAAATTGATTGGATTTCAAAGATAAGATGTCAGCAGTTGCTAATTGTGCGAATCCTTTTTTTTAACGTTTTAAAAGTTTTAAATCAAATTATATTTTAAAAAAGAAAACATGAAGTATTCGTTTGGAGCGTCTTATGTATATGTTATCGCTAACTTAAGATATTTTTTATTTGAAAATTAAAAAAAATGGTAAAGTCAGATGAGAGGTATATTTTCTTTTGCGCCTCTGTTTAGTTGTTTTGGTGAATTTATACATATTTTTGTGTGGAAGCTGGATTGATGATGTCAGCAGAAATCTTGCAGGGTCATCAAAATTATTGCCTGGACATTATATTAGTATAGGCTATAAATATAGCACATCACTTATATGTCCCCAGCGCAATATTTTGTATTTGATATTTTTTGAGAGGACATAAATTTGATATCAAATAGAAACGAATTTTATATCCTACTTAGTAGCAACGATAATCATCTATGAATATATTGCGTCATGTCGACGAGTCCTGATATTGAGAGTAAAGTGCGTATGAATACATTAGAGGCCACACAGCTCGGCAGCTTCTTCTGTGTTTCCTGGCTTTCACAAAGCGATCGTAGCTCTGCGACTATCGTAAGTCTTTCTTAAAGTGTGGGAGTTACATTCGTACAGTTCGAATCGGCGAGAAAGTTTTTATTTGTCAAAACCTTTCGTGGAAGGGTCCCCGAATTGCAATTTCGTGGCTGTATCGTAATCCATTCGTAATTAATTCTTATGTTCCGTAACAGCTTCGTTATAGATTCTTTTGCATTCTTGGCTATTCTGAGCGATTCGTGGCTCCTAGAATTTCTTGTCGTCTACCCGAAAACATCCCGAAACAGCCACGAATGTCCCGAGTCAACTATGAATCATGTAAGAATTAAGTAACAACATTCGGCATATTCGTAACTTAGTCGTAGGTGATTCTTACAATTCGTGCATGATCCGTACATGAATATTATAATTCGTACATGTTTCTTAACCCATTCCTGGCATTCTTCATATTTTTCAACCCGATTAGCCACGAAAGTTTGCATCATTGGCCGAATCATCACGAATTTCGAAAGTTTCCGATTCGGGGTGATTCGGGACATTCGTGGTCGTAGTGAAAGGGGGGCATGACGACAAGCACAGTTTCCATTGTGCGGCGAGCATGGATTGCTCCCTGGAAGACCTATTATAACCCTGACCTTCACGGGTAGTCATGCTTAGTGATTGAGTTTTTTTCATGACCCGACGGTATGGGATGATGCTCATTATATCAATCCCTGGTTTGTCCGGTCCAGAATCAACTAATTCAACTGGTGTATTGCTGATTGGCATAAAACATCCACTCTCTCACTAGGATGTCTGATGATCAAATGACGATGGCTTCATCTTCATCTTCTCGACATGTGATGACTACACAGAAATTCGTCTAAAAGATTTTAAAAATTAATTTTTACAACATTTTCAATGCAATAAGTTTGATTAGAATACATTCATGTCATCTTACAAACTATTTAAATATTTGACAAAGAATGATCATCAAGTTCGTTGGTTCGTTACGACAAGCATGGGTTGCTGGATCCGTATCAGAGCAGTAGTGTATAAGAGATGTCGCAAGATACATTGAAAGACTCCTTACCTGTTTCCTGTTGAAGGGAGTCATGCATTCCTGCACAGGGTAGTTTTAAGACGACAGGACATAGTTGACAATCTCCTGTTGTTCCAGAATGTGAGTCTCAATATGGCGGCCACTGCCGTAGTCTTTTCGGGTCGTCGTGTAACCCCGGGGAACTCCAGACACTCAGTCACTGCGGCTTCCTCAACTTCTGTTGTTACCCGGACCCCAGCACTGCGCATGCCACACAGGCGCCCGGACATGTCTCGCACGGGAATGGTAAGGAGCTAACGTTGCATCCGGGTACTCTTGAGTCGGGCATGACAAACAAGTTGCTATATATATGATGTTATGTGTTTACGTACTTGGTGTTACGTGTCGATTCCCAATTTGAAACAATAAGTTAACCCAGAAATATGTGCGTTAAAGAATATAGTTCATATATACAAACTTCATTTTGTGTGCTTTGAATGCAGTATCAGACTTTGTGTGGATGTGTGTACGAGTGGAGTTGTTTTCCTTTTTGTTTGTCATAACTGCTATGTACGTGCATGTCGGCGTGTTAACAGGTCATTGTGGCGTTCCCGAGGTGAGCCGGATAGTTGGGGGATCGACAGCTGTAGCAGGGGAGTTCCCATGGCAGGTACGACACACCAAGATCACAACACCATCACACAACACCACCATCACAACATCGCTAGAGCACCATCACAACATCATCCAAACACCAGCACAAAAACGCCAGCACAATACCAGCATCACAAGGTCTTGACAACCATGCAGCAACTACCAATAACAATCTCAATACTTACAACGGCCATCATTCACACAGAAACCCAAACATCTAATCCACCCACTAATCCACTCACTCACTCACTCACTCACTCACTCATCCACCCACCCACCCACCCACTCACTCACTCACTCACTCACTCACTCACTCACTCACTCACTCACTCACCCACCCACCCACCCACCCACCCACCCACCCACTCACTCACTCACTCACTCACTCACTCACTCACTCACTCACTCACTCACTCACTCACTCACCCACTCACTCACTCACTCACTCATCCACTCACCCACTCACTCACTCACTCACTCATCCACTCACTCACTCACTCACTCACTCACTCATCCACCCATCGACTCACTCACTCACTCACCCACCCACCCACCCACTCACTCACTCACTCACTCACTCACTCACTCACTCACTCACTCACTCACTCACTCCTGATGTTAATCCAGGTCTCCCTGCAGTACAACCAGGGACACATGTGTGGAGGTACCCTGATTGACGACCAATGGATTGCCACTGCAGCTCACTGCTTCGAAGAGTATGATTACTTTATCGTTGTCCTATTATATACGATTAATATGCTGACACAACTGTGTTTGTCAGAGGGCTTAACTAACAGCTACCCCAATCATAGAGGGAATGTGAACCACGATATCGAGCCCAATTTAAGTCTGTGTTGGCTTGTTTGTTGTTTACGCCGCACTCGGCGATATTCCAGCTATATGACGGCGGTCTGTTTAGAATAGAGTCTGGGCCAGACAATCCAGTGATTGATGTCATGAGCATCGACCCACTCAATTGGGGTACGATTACATGCATCAACCAAGTCAGCGTGTCTGACCACCCGAGCCCGTTAGTCGCCTATTACGACAATCATATTCGGCTTTTACGGCAAGCATGGGTTGCTGAAGACCTATTCTTCCCCAGGTCTTCAGGGGTCTTAAGTCTGTGTCCACACATACCAGTTAGCGCAATGAGAGAACCTTAGACATTGTCTTTGGGTAATTGAAAACTACTTGACTGTTTTACATAATAAAACAAGGGAGGCAACATCTCAGGATGACAGGGGAGATAACCCTCAGCTGCTTTGGCAGAGTTGATATGGGAAGACAACTCTCAACAGCCCGGTATCTTGGTAGACGATACTCAGCTATTCAGGAGGATATCTGCAAAAGGAGACAACTGTCAGTTGCTTGGAATAACTAAGTCAGGGGAGACAACTCTCAACTGCCTATCTTCAAGTAATTGCGTGACACAGAAGCCCTACAAAAAACCCAAAAATCTTTCAATTTAACGTCTGTAGCTATTTTAAGATAGCCAAGTTGGTTGATGGGTCCATATTCGATCACGTGATGCGCAGACTCGCCATTAACTCGCTTTATTTCCTCACAGCACTAATTTGGGTAACTGGGACGTCGTGATGGGAGGCATTGACAACTACCACGTTTACCAGAAACAGGTGCACAAAATCGCCCACATCATCAGGCACGCCAGCTTCAACAGCAAAACCAACGCTCACGACATCGCCTTGGTGAAACTCTCACAGCCAATCGCCGAGGGAAGGATGCTCAAGCCAGCATGCCTGCCTGCTTCAGGGGAGAACTTCGACAACGTGGTGTGCACTGTCACCGGATGGGGAGCCACTCATTTCAGTCAGTATTGAGTCTTCGTCGCATCTATTGTACAGTATTTCAAAGACAACTACGTGGGTAACCGAGAACTGATTTGATTTTACAAACACAAATTTTATACTCTACATACATTATTTATTTATTTAATGTAAAATGATTTTTGCGATACTCGTACACTTTTGTCTTGGTGTAAGGCCATATGACTTAATTCCTAAAAATTAATTGGAGTTACTGCCCTTTTGTTAGGAGTATTATTTATTTATTATCAGACACTTATAAAATCAAAATTATCAATCAGATATTTTACGAAAACATGGTATGTTGTATTTTTACATTTTTCGAAGTTTAGGAAAAGAAATATGCGAATTACAAAAATCAGAACGTCGGATAAGGTCGGAGAACGTTACTATATACACAGGCTATACATATTCATTGTATGATCAAACACAATCAGTGATTCACCGAAAACTAAACTTACATTTTAAAAATGGTTGCTGTGGCGGTTATATTTCAAGGTTGATCATATTTTAGAGAGTTGATTGAAGGTCTGTGCCTCAATAGAAGGAATTGTGTAATGGTACAATCTGTTATTGTGGGCGTTACAAGACGTCACAGGGGTGTGGCCACCAACACTTTGAGTCAGTTGAAACAATGGACGTCCATGAAGATATACGTACAACACTTGGGAAGGATACCACCATAAGGAAGTGGGAGCCTTCAAAATGACCCTGTCCTGGAAAGCCTGTCACGTCAGCAACACCATTAAATGATCCCGAGAATCAACGATATGTCGACCAATCGGCGAACCATTTTGCTCGTTCAGTTGGCATTTCCCAGAAGCAAAACTACTCCGTTACCACAGAAACTTTGCAAATGAAGTATCAGAGTTTTAGGTTCCAAAGCTTCTGAAATCAGACAAAAAACGCATCAAGCATATGTCTTGTGATAATCTGGCTCCATTTGAAGCTAATCCAGAAAGGATATCGATTCAGTAAGTTTAGATTTTTGACTAAGGATGATACTTTGGTTCACCACTCTGAGCCCAACAACATAAACACAGGGAGCATTTGATATCCCCACCAACACCAAAGAAGGCAAAGACTGTCCAATCACCTGACACCATCACCACCACCAAAGAAGGCAGAGACTGTCCCATCACCTGACAACATCAACACCACCAACGAAGGCAAAGACTGTCCCATCACCTGACACCACCACCACCACCAAAGAAGGCAGAGACTGTCCCATCACCTGACACCATCACCACCACCAAAGAAGGCAAAGACTGTCCCATCACCTGACACCATCACCACCACCAAAGAAGGCAGAGACTGTCCAATCACCTGACACCACCACCACCACCAAAGAAGGAAAAGACTGTCCAATCACCTGACACCACCACCACCACCAAAGAAGGAAAAGACTGTCCAATCACCAGACACCACCACCACCACCAAAGAAGGCAAAGACTGTCCAATCACCTGACACCACCACCACCACCAAAGAAGGAAAAGACTGTCCAATCACCTGACACCACCACCACCACCAAAGAAGGCAGAGACTGTCTCATCACCTGACACCATCACCACCACCAAAGAAGGCAAAGACTGTCAAATAACCTGACACCACCACCACCACCACCACCAAAGAAGGCAAAGACTGTCCCATCACCTGACACCATCACCACCACCAAAGAAGGAAAAGACTGTCCAATCACCTGACACCATCACCACCACCATCACCAAAGAAGGCAAAGACTGTCCAATCACCTGACACCATCAACACCACCAACGAAGGCAAAGACTGTCCCATCACCTGACACCATCACCACCACCAAAGAAGGCAGAGACTGTCCAATCACCTGACACCACCACCACCACCACCACCACCAAAGAAGGCAGAGACTGTCCAATCACCTGACACCACCACCACCACCACCAAAGAAGGCAGAGACTGTCCCATCACCTGACACCATCACCACCACCAAAGAAGGCAGAGACTGTCCCATCACCTGACACCATCACCACCACCAAAGAAGGCAGAGACTGTCCAATCACCTGACACCACCACCACCACCACCACCACCACCACCACCACCACCACCACCACCACCAAAGAAGGCAGAGACTGTCTCATCACCTGACACCATCACCACCACCAAAGAAGGCAAAGACTGTCCCATCACCTGACACCATCACCACCACCAACACCACCAAAGAAGGCAAAGACTGTCAAATAACCTGACACTACCACCACCACCAAAGAAGGAAAAGACTGTTCAATCACCAGACACCACCACCACCACCACCACCAAAGAAGGCAAAGACTGACCCTCACCTGGAGTGGTTATGGGCTTTGTGTTTGTGGATGCCGAGCTTGTCCTCATAGCGGACTATCTTCCAAAATGACTGACACAAAAGAGAGCACATTATGGTGACTTTTGGGGCATTTACGGAATGGCATTAAGACTAAGAAACGTTTTTTGCTGCGAAATGATGTGCTCTCTCATCCGGACAATGCGTCAGTGCACCAATCAGTCCTTGACATGGTCACAATCCACAAGTATGGCTTTGAACTCCTTCAGCCTCCACCTTATACGCCTCATCTCAAGCTTCCCAAATATGAAGAAAGCTTCAGTCGGAACCAATTTCATGGCTGTCTTGGAGAATGTTTTCGGACAGCCAAGTGAAGGAAATCAACGAAACTGGGATAAAATCCCTTCAAATCGTTGGCTTGGTTGGTTGGTTTGTTGATTTGCGCCGCACTCAGCAATATTCCAGCTATGTGACGGCTGTCTGTAAATAATCGAGTCTGGACCAGACAATCCAGTGATTGATATAATGAGCATCGATCCACACATTGGGATCGATGTCATGCATCAACCAAGTCAGCGAGCCTGAACACCCGATCCCGTCAGTCGCCTCTTACGACAAGAATAGTCGCCTATGGGTTGCTGAAGACCCCGGATCTTCACGGGTCCAAATCGTTGGCAAAAGTGTATCATTGTAGAAGTGTGTTATGCTTAAGATAATAATTTAAATGTCTTCACGTCTTGTCATCTGTTTGAGGCTCTGCACTTTCAATCACCCTTCGTAAGCATGCAAACTGTGTGGCATCATTTTTGGATCATAAGCAGAAATACACTTTTAACCCAGAAGATGCCAGTTATCCTGGCACACTTTTAGAAAATCAGAAGGACACACACATTCGTTTTATAATCTCCAAATTGTATCCATATAGTTAAATAGGGGAGTTAATAACAACGACGACGTACAGACACGCTTGGCGTGACGTTTATGGACAGCTAGTTCCTCGACGTGCATATGTCATGACGTTATTGCTGTTTTCCACACATCCAGATGGACAAGGCACGCGTTATCTCGAGAAGGTAAACGTTCCCGTCATCACAAACAGCATGTGTAAATACTACCTCGGCAACGTCGTCTTCGACCACAACGTCTGCGCTGGTCTGACATCAGGAGGAAAGGATGCTTGTCAGGTGAGTTAATTACTATAAAACTAAATGAGGATCTTATCCCAGGTGAGCTTATTATAAAACTAGGTGAGGATCTTATCCCATGTGAGCTGATTATAAAACTAGGTGAGGATCTTATCCCAGGTGAGCTGATTACAAAACTAGGTGAGGATCTTATCCCATGTGAGCTGATTACAAAACTAGGTGAGGATCTAATCCCATGTGAGCTGATTACAAAACTAGGTGAGGATCTTATCCCAGGTGAGCTGATCACAAAACTAGGTGAGGATTTTATCCCATGTTAGCTGATTACAAACGTAGGTGAGGCTCTTATACCAGGTGAGCTGATTACATAACTAGGTGAGGATCTTATCCCAGGTGAGATAAAAACGAAACTAGGTGATGATCTTATCCTAGGTGAGCTGATTACAAAACTAGGTGAGGATCTTATCTCAGGTTAGCTCATTATAAAACTAGGTGAGGATCTTATCCCATGTGAGCTGATTACAAAACTAGGTGAGGATCTTATCCCAGGTTAGCTCATTATAAAACTAGGTGAGGATCTTATCCCAGGTGAGCTGATTACAAAACTAGGTGAGGATCTTATCCCAGGTTAGCTCATTATAAAACTAGGTGAGGATCTTATCCCAGGTGAGCTGATTATAAAACTAGGTGAGGATCTTATCCCAGGGGAGCTGATTATAAAACTAGGTGAGGATCTTATCCCAGGTGAGCTGATTACAAAACTAGATGAGGATCTTATCCCAGGTGAGCTGATTATAAAACTAGATGAGGATCTTATCCCAGGTGAGCTGATAATAAAACTAGGTGAGGATCTTATCCCAGGTGAGCTGATTATAAAACTAGGTGAGGATCTTATCCCATGTGAGCTGATTACAAAACTAGGTGAGGATCTTATTCCAGGTGAGCTGATTATAAAATTAGGTGAGGATCCTATCCCATGTGAGCTGATTACAAAACTAGGTGAGGATCTTATTCCAGGTGAGCTGATTATAAAACTAGGTGAGGATCTTATCCCATGTGAGCTGATTACAAAACTAGGTGAGGATCTTATTCCAGGTGAGCTGATTATAAAACTAGGTGAGGATCTTATTCCAGGTGAGCTGATTACAAAGCTGAGTGATGAGCTTGTATTGTTCTGATGCACCGGCTTCCAAACAGTTGTTCACGGTAGACAATCAGAAACAGAAAATACCTTTGTGCTTTAGTACACTTCACCGTATTTTATAGCATTGTCGCAGTTAATAATAAAATAATGATAATTTTTATTATAAAATATAAAAGTTCAATCATATTTTAAAATTTTCATTTAAAGGGTTGTGAACAGGAAATAATTTTAAAATTGAAATAGAAAGTGCTAACGGTTTGAGTGTTACATTTTGTGAGTGAGTGAGTTAAAATTTAAAGTCACATCAGCAATATTTCAGCCATATCGTGACTTTCAAAGGTTATATATAATAGAGACATGTAAACAATAAAAACCTGTCAACAACGGACAGTAAAATAACTAGACGTATCACAGAAAAGTTACATTTAGTGACAAACGGGTTCCCATATCGATCTGCTTACTTTCATCTGTTATTGACGTTTGACAAGCATGGCAAGAAAATATATATTATATATTAAAAATCTCAGATATATTGTTTTGTATTTGTTTTTACTTTATGAACCTATTTCTGCTTACTGTAAATCCCTCATTAATATTTTTTTGTAGGGAGACTCCGGCGGCCCCCTGGTGTGTAAAACTGGTAGTGTGTGGAAACTGGCGGGTATTGTTTCCTGGGGTTACGGATGTGGTGACAAAGCAACACCCGGTGTCTACACGCGTGTGTCTTCATTTCTAAGCTGGATTGAAGGTGTCAAGTCTAAATACTAGTTTCACTCAATAAAATAAATCACGCATAATAGTTTGTGTGTAAGTTTCTGTGTCTTTGGCCAGGATGTTTACAGACTTACTCATGCTTTGGTAAATATTTGAATATGAGTGAGTGAGTGAGTGAGTGAGTGAGTGAGTGGATTGGGTGAGTGAGTGAGTGAGTGAGTGAGTGAGTGAGTGAGTGAGTGAGTGAGTGAGTGAGTGAATGGGTGGGTGGGCGGGCGAGTAAGTGAGTGAGTGAGTGGGTGGGTGGGTGGGTGGGTGAGTGAATGAGTGAGTGAGTGTATAGCACTGATTTTCACACACACACACACAAACACACGCACACAAACACACAAACACAAACACACACACACACACACACACACACACACACACACACACACACACACACACACACACACTCACACAAACACACACACACACACAAACACAGACTATATAATGAGGATCGGGTAATGGTTGACGACGTGTCATCGTATCCTGGCGGGATAGGGCGATGTCCATCCTGTCACCCTGCCACGATCGGCTATTTCCGGTGAAAATATTGCTCTGAGGTGACTGGCAGCCATTGTATTAGTCAGTTTGCCACCAGAGAAAAAGAGGCTCAGTTAAGATTTTTTTCCCACTTTTTCCTGTATACCTAAAACTTTTTCTCTTGCATCAAGGAGGGATCTGCATACGATTTCCAATGGGTAATAAGCTTGCAAGTGTGTGCGTGAATTTTTCAGTGGATCAAAATTTGAAGGAAAAATTGACTGTAACATCTTTATTAAACTATCTAAATTATGTCTTTGATTGCAGATAATATGTTCGGTTATCTGAATTTGACAACATTCTGTTTTATTTAACTGTTATTCTAATTCCCAGTGAAAACATTGATAAATTAATATGTTTTTACTTCATTTTGAATTCTTGTGAGTAGGTAAAACACTAATTCCATTGAATTGTGACAATAAAAGCACTATAACTGTGTATTAAAATGTATTAAAATAAAAATATATTACATAGGGGCTCAGATATTGTCTAGAATATTGCCCCACCCCCTAAAAAGCAATTTTGACGAAACTTACTTTTTGAAATATGGTGGTAGATTATGTTAATGTAGTTGATGAGTGGGATACTTGCAAAAATGCTTAAAAACACCAAAACAGTACAATAATAAAGAAAAATGATGTTTGAAGTTTTTCTATGACCTGTTTTCAAAATCAAAGATCTTTTACAGAGTATAACATTGTTTTGTCAAATTATTCAATTTCCCTTCAATTTATGCTATTTTGACCCCCTGAAAATTCACGCACACGCTTGCAAGCTTACTACCAATTGAACATTGTGTACAGATTTCTCCTCCATACAACGGACATGTTTTTCACCCCTGACTAACCGACTGACTGAGGTTGGGGATTTTACGTGCGCTTTCCGACTGCAAACGCATGGCGTACACGTTGTGCACGCGCACTCGGCTAACTGACTATAAGCAGGGACTATATTTGACCACATGACCGTCACGTGATGTACACGTCCCAGCGTCCAGGCAACAGTAAGGAATGGCTTCTGGAATGGCTTCTGATGTGGCAAAAGCGGCCGTTTGCATAAGTTATGTGACTGATCTTACGATTACGAGAGTTATTTGTTGTGGTACAATAGGTCTTCAGCAACCCATGCTTGCCGTAAAAGGCGACTATGCTTGTCGAAAGAGGCGACTAACGAGATTGGGTGGTCAGCCTCGCAGACTTTGTTGCTGCATGTCATCGTATCCCAATTGCGTGGATCGATGCTCATGATGTCAATCACTGGATTGTCTGTTCCAGACTCGACTATTTACAGACCGATGTCATAAAGCTGGAATATGGCTGAGTGCGGCGTTAAGCAACAAATAACCTAACCTAGATAAATAGCTAAGTATATGTAAGAATAACGAACATTAAACGCTGATAAAACGGTAGCGCGCAAGAATTGATCGTGTTAAGGCGGAAGGCTCTTTACTGTTTGGGCAGAAGCTGCTTCATTTCCTACACTCACAGCCGAGTCTTCTTCGCGATTACGGAGAGTGGCGGAAAGAGACGAGATTGTCGGAAAGGCTATCGTCCTCTGGCTAGCCTCACGCACATGCTGGAGTTGAAAGTCGTGAAATAGGAAGAATATTTTTTACTTCATCGTCAAACAACTAAAAACAAAACTGATTCAAGCAGGTGTGGCGTTTGTTTGCTCCGTAGAGTTTTGAGTGAGTGAGTATGGTTTTACGCCGCTTTTAGCAATATTCTAGCAATATCACGGCGGAGGACACCAGAAATGGGCTTCACACGTTGTACCCATTTCGGGAATCGAACCCGGGTCTTCGGCGTGACGAGCGAACGCTTTAACCACTAGGCTACCCCACCGCCCCCGTAGAGTTTTGAAAAGGGGTAGGACATTACCTCAGATAAAACATTCTTCAAATAGTCCGAGCAGCTGACAGAATGCCTACCAATGTGGTTTATCTTGGTCTATAAAGTCTAAGTGGCAATCGGGCATGATATAATGCCTATTTGTTGTATATTCCTGGATCTATGGATATGTATGTACCTCGGATGTACATTTGTACACGATATATCACTCAGAGATCTGGGTATAGATTTATACACAATATATCATTCGGAGATCTGGGTATAGATTTACACACGATATATCATTCAGAGATCTGGGTATAGATTTACACACAATATATCATTCGGAGATCTGTGTATAGATTTACACACGATATATTATTCAGAAATCTGGGTATATATTTATACACGATATATCATTCAGTGATTTGGGTATAGATTTACAAACGATATGTCGTTCAGAGATCGGGATATATATTTACACCCGATATATCATTCAGAGATCTGGGAATATATTTACACTCGATATATCATTCAGAGATCTGGGTTATACTATATATTTACACCCGATATATCATTCAGAGATCTTGGTGTAGATTTACACCCGATATATCATTCAGAGATCTGAAATATATTTACACACAGATTCAAAACAGATTAGTACTGTTCAAAATGAAATGAAATTTATAGCGGGCAGTGACAACTCGAAGGAAGGAATGATGTAAGCACCGAACATAGGCTTGTAGCAGGAAATCCGTAGTTCCGAGTTTCGTGTAAGTTGTTCTATTTATTACCCTTTTTAAGAAAGATCACGAACAAAATAGCATTAGATGGCCTTGAGAAAAGAAACTGTAGCCTGTTCAGATAATTTTAGCAATTTGAAACGTGACAAAGTTTTGTTCTCAAAAGACGCAATATGACCTCTTATCGCTTCAACAGACCAATCACCATTGAGAATCGCTTTGTGTGCATCGGTATCGTATTACACTCAGACTTTCAACCTAAAGAGCTGAACTATTCTGATCCGGAATACAGCAACATTAAACCCGACCTCACCTTCAGGGGACCTATTCTGACCCGGAATACACCGACATTAAACCCCATCTCACCTTCAGGGGACCTATTCTGACCCGAAATACAGCGACATCAAACCCCATCTCACCTTCAGGGGACCTATTCTGACCCAGTTTGCCAAGGCAAACAGAAATACAATTTCTTGATTTGAGAGAAGGTGTCCTAAGTTGGAGAACTTGTACCCAATCCCATTCTCTTTTTGTGATTAAAATATGTTCAAATCAAAATTTCTCAACGTAGGAAGATATTCTCAGTATTTAACGGATGCGAGGGAAATGTATTTCGAATATGATAAAGACATGACGTGTGATCGGTATCTGCCTCAATCATAACGCTGAGTTGCAGTTGGATTTGGATTGAGGGCGTGCTTGGGTCGCAAGATTTGCGTCCAACAAAACGCTTGAAACCGCCTCAAGGGTTACCTCCCTTCCACCGGCAAGCAAGACTTTTTGGATTTTACGCCGCTTCTGACAGTTCCTGTTGGGGTTGACAGCTGGCTGCAGCTTCAGGTGTGATCTCTGACCTCTAGATAAAACGAAAACAGCTTGTTATCAGTAACAGATTGCGGTGACACATAAAGATCCAGTAATGTCGGCAAGTTCTTAAGCCTTTGGCAACATCAAAGAATGTTATGTTTAAAGTTCATTCAGAAACTATAGGAAAACAATTGATTTATTATTAGTAACATTTTTGAAACGAAAATAAGACATACTGATATATGACATTGATACAAAATACAGTTACCCTATTTCATGATGGGGTTTGAACTGATATTGTTACGTTTGAGAATAGAAAATGCACCTTGTAGAGGAAGGCTAACAGAGTGAGGTCCCTTCCGTCGTTCAACGCTGCACACGTTGCCTGCCTGGGAGTGCATAGTGCAAAAGTGAGCCAAGGTGAGGGGGTGGGGCGGTTTGGGTAGGGAGTCTGTGTGGGGGACGCGGCATTATCTTAATATAATCTCCACTGGCTAAAATCACAACACAAACACAATGTACATGTAATTCACGTGCTCAGTCTAATCAAAATCAGATCTAGGTTCTTGCTACCGCTAAATAAAGATCTGGGGACACCATTGCGGGTCACGTCAGAACGACCATGCGCGAACTTGAACTTGACAGACCAATGGAATGACTGACAAGAAATCGACATTAGCCAATCAGAAGGCAGCTTTCTCGTGCTCTACGGCACAAATTTCAAATAGGCGACTACGCTTCAAAACATATTTTGACAAATTCTCAATTAACATTTGAAACCTAAACAAAAGAACATTCTGGAATGGCTAATTGTATGGATACAGTCATTAAGCCCGTAACTATCGTTCGGAATACCCCGTGTATAGAAAACACTTTCCGACTGTCACTTTCATGATCTGGTAAGCGACGCTCCGATTGGTCGGATGAAAGGTAGTTCTGACGTGACCCCTAAAGGGATGTCTTCAGATCTTTGTTTAGTGGTAGCGAGAACTTAGATCTGATTTTAATGAGATTGTGAACGTGCTTTACATAGTGTAGAGATTGCAGATGTTTTCGTGCTGTAGACACGTCACCTAAACACAGATTATTCGCTGAGTGTATTTCTGTATCGTAAA